AAAAAATGAACTAGATGAGGATTTCTATGGTGTATGTGCTTATGTTTGTACATAAATAGGTTATTTTATATAAAAATAGGAGCAAACTATACATATGTACTACTCCTTTCCTTTTCTGCTCCCTTCCCTTCCTTTCCCTTTCCCTTCCCCTTTCCCCCTCTCTTTTCTTTGTTTGCCAAATTTAAGTTATTTCCAGCCCGACTTAAGTATATAATTAGGAACCAGTGGCAAGTGTTTTAGGGCAAAGCACCATTAACATATCAACACACAAAAATGCACTTAGGTTAAGAAAAATCAGAATACTTTTTCCCCTTGCAGGTAAAGTTTTCATGCCAACTTTCTGCCATCCTGTAAATTTTGTGGTAGTTTTTTCCCTTAGAATTTCTTTTCGTCTGCCTTCCACTTCTTATTCTGAAAAATTAAAAACCTATTATAAGTTTGCAAGAATGAACATTCATGTCGTCTTTACCTAGACTGACCATTAATACTTGGTTTCATTTACTTTATCTCTCTAATCTTTCATTTTGCTGAATCATTTGACAATACATTGCAGACATTATGACACATCACCCCTAAATATTATAGCATGTATTTCTTAGGAACAAGGAAGTTCTCTTTTCTAGCCATAAATCCAGTTATACCAATGAAATTTAATATTGATCTAGCAATATTATCTAACAGATAGTGGATATTCACATTTTCTTAATAGCCCCCCAAAAGCCATTTATGGCAATTTCTTTTACAGCCATAATCTAAGGTTTATGCACTGCATTTAGTTGCCTAGTTTATAAATCTCCCTAATCTAGAACTGTCTTCCTACCTTTTTTTGTCTTCCATGATATTAGCAGTTTTGAAAATTCAGGCAAACCATCTTGTAGAGTGTGGCAAACATAGAGTTGTCTGATTATTTCCTCACCGTAAGATTCAGGTTAAATATTAATATTTTAGGAAGAATAGTACTTAGGAGACACTATGTGTTTTCAATTAAATCGCAATCAGGAATATAAGTTTGTCCTCTTATTGCTGGTGTTAAATTTGGTCCCTTGTTTAAGGTATTGTCTATCAGAGCTCTCTATTTGAGGATATTTTCCCCCTATGTAAGTAATATGTAATCTGTTGTGTGATTCTGTCTTTTTTTTTTTTTTTTTTTTAAGGACGGGCTCTTGCTTCCCAGGCTGGAGTGCAGTAGCATGGTTACAGCTCACTGCAGGTTCAACCTCCAGGGCTTAAGTGATCTTCCTGCCTCAGCCCCTCAAGCAGCTGGGACTACAGACATGTGCCACTATGCCTGACTGATTTTCTTTTTTTTTTTGTAGAGATGGGATCTTGCTAAGTTTCTCAGGCTGGTTTCAAACTCCTGGGCTCCCACCTTGGCTTCCCAAAGTGCTGGGATTACAGGTGTGAGCCACTGCACCTGGCCTTTAACAACTTCTGATTTTAGCATCTATTGGTGATCTTTGCTCAATCAGTTACTACATTGGTGGTATTGCAAAAATGGAATTTTTCTAATTCCATTATTCCTTTTATGGGGCATTTTTTTTTTCCTTGGAAAGAAGAGAACTTCTTACACTTTTGTAGTATCCATATAGGAAAGAAGAGACTTTCTTCTACTTTTTTAGTATCCATATGGGTTCATGGATTATATTTTTAAAATTATTATTATTATTTTTTGAGACAGGGCCTTACCTCATCACCCAGGTTGGAGTGCAGTGGTACACTCATGGCACACTGTAGCCTTGACCTCCCAGGCTCAAGCAGTCCTCTCCCCTTAGCCTCCCTAGTAGCTGGGACTATAGGCATGCTCACCATGCCTGGCTGATTTTTTTATTTTGTAGAGATAGGGTTTTGCCATGCTGCCCAGGCTGGTCTTGAACTCCTGGGCTCAAGCAATCTGCCTGTCTTGGCTTCCCAAAATGTTGGGATTATAGATGTGAGCCACCATGCTTGGCCATATTATAATTTAAAAAAAAATTAAGACTATATTCCCACCTTAGCCTCTCAAGCAGCTGGGACTACTGACATATGCCACCATGCCTGTTTTTTTTTTTTTTTTTTTTTTTTGGTAGAGATGGGGTCTTGTTAAGTTCCTCAGGCTGGTCTCAAACTCCTGGACTTCCACTTTGGCTTCCCAAAGTGCTGGGATTACAGGTGTAACCCCATGTATTGAGATATATGGATATTCAATGGACAATTTGATTAGTTTTGACAAATGTATATGCGCATGTAATGCACACCCTAAACCACAAAAAGCTTCCTTTGAACCTTTTTCAGTCATTCCCTGACCCTGCTTCCTCTCAAAGCAGCACTGATCTGATTTCTTCATTATTCTCTTTGATATTTAAATTGTCCCAAATATTGGCATTGAAAGCCCCATCCAGCTGGCTCTATGTCCTTTTGAGATGTCTTCTTTAATCAGGTATAAAAAGATGTTTTGCTTTATTCTTTTAATAGCTGAAAATAGAGTTGGCACTCTGTATCCATGGGTTCCATATCCATGGATTCAACTAAGAAAATATTCAGAAGAAAAAAATTCCACAAAGTTCCAAAAAGCAAAATTTGAGTTTGCTGCAACACTAAGTACTACACTGAATCCACTTGCATGAAGTGATGTATGGGCATTATATTAGGTATTATAAGTAATCTTCTATAATTATTTAAATTATATTATTTATATACTTTAAGTACACACACACACACACACACACACACACACATATGTGTGTGTATGGGAGGATGTTTTAAAGTATATGGGAGGATGTCCGGAGGTTATATGCAAATATTATGCCATTTTATATAAGGGACTTGAGCATTGGCAGATGTTGGTATCTGTGGGTGGTTGTAGAACTGTGCGCTGGGGCCAGGTGTGGTGGCTCACGCCGGTAATCCCAGCACTTTGGGAGGCCGAGGCAGGTCGATCACCTGAGGTCAGGAGATCGAGAACAGCCTGGCCAACATGGTGAAATCCCGTATCTACTAAAAATACAAAAATTAGCCAGGCATGGTGGTGCACACCTGTAATCCCAGCTACTAGGGAGGCTGAGACAGGAGAATCACTTGAACCTGGGAGGCGGAGGTTGCAGTAAGCCGATACAGCTAGTGCTTGACTTACGACCACGATTGGTTCTGACAGACCGGTCGTAAAACGATTTGGTCGTAAGTTGAGTAGGCTATATGTACAGTACTGTGAAATGATGTTATAAAAATCTTTAAGTCATATTTTATCATAATTTTCTTTCATTATTGTTATATATCATAATTTTCTTTGTTCTTTTATGCCATTTGTATCATCTCTACACCATTTTGTTTCTTATTTTTACATTCATCAGGTTTAAGTAAAACACTGCATTACCAGTACAACTGGTTTAATATTTGCAAAACATACAAAATTACAAAATACAGGTGCATACAAAAATACAAAATACAGGTGTAAGAAATACCATAGGAAACATTTTCCCAATTGCAAAACATATCAAAATATATAAACATGTACGAAACATTTTATTGGCCGCTAGTGCTTGGCTGCGGATTGTTGATGTCGTCATCTGAGGCAGCAGTTGGGGTTACCGGGGTTGGTTTTTTCATAAACATGGTGAGCTTTGTCTGAATTGTATGTTTCTTTTTTGCTTCATAAATTTCATGATACGGACCAAACACATCGTGCGCCATCCGTTCAATCCTTGCAAATCGTTTGATGTTTGGGTCCATTGCTTCGAAATGTATAAGAAGTTTATTGGGAGGGGTTTGATGAAAAATATCCAAGACACAAAACACAAATTGCTGTACCGAGTCTAGGATAACAGTTGAAATGGTGCACGCGGAGATGGTAGTGCTGCCGGAAGCTGGTCCGCACTGTCGTAGGCCCAGCTGGGCAACGTTTGCGCTGCCAGACGCGATTGTGGTCGTAAAGTCGAATGGTCATAAGTTTCATAGGTTGTAAGTCGATCAATACCTGTATTGTGTCATTGTACTCCAGACTGGGAGACAGAGCAAGACTCTGTTTTAAAAACACACACACAAAAAACAAAACAGTGCCCCAAGGGTACTGAGGGATAACTGTATCTAATGGTATGGATACTCCTTTAATAATTTCTCCTAAAGCCCATTAGTGGACTTCAGGTAGTTTTATTTTTTTGTCCCGTTACAACCATGAGGGCATATTCTATTCTCTTACACTGATGTGAGTATAGGCTAGAGCTCCAGAAGTGGTATTTTAAAGTCAATGAGTATGCACATTTAAAATTTTGATTGAGAATGCCAATACTTCCCTCCCCTTTTAAAAAGCATATTAATGACATTTTAACAGACATTGCTGGTTTCCCCATGGCCCCACCAACACTGAATTTTCTCTGTCTGTGTATATCTGGTGGCACAGAGTTCAAATTTGGACTTATCCCTGAGTAGAGCGAACATCCAAAGTATAGGTCTGTCTTTTTGGTTCCAAGCCCTCCAGTTTCGATTTGCATACAAATGAAATTCCTCCTCAAGGAGAAATGTTTGCCATTCCTTGTCATTCAGTGTCACATTGACCATCACAGCCAGCTTTGGGCAGAGGGTGTTCTTCCTGTTTTTATTCTGCATTAACTTTACTTGGGACATAAGTGGGGAAAGGGAGGCCTGGGTGATGACGACATTGCCCCCAGGGTCTCATCTTCCTAGGCAGCCTCTATAAATTTGGTTTGCAGTTACTGCTCTGTATTTCTACCCTTAAATAACTATTGGAACTGGTTTTTATTTTAGAATGAACCATGATGATTCTACATTTGGGATAGCAGGTTTGTCCGTGTGTGTGTGTGTGTGTGTGTGTGTGTGTGTGTGTGTGTGTGTGTGTAGAGTGTGTGTGTGATTGCTTTCTGAGGCCAGCTATTGAGTCTCAGATTAATTAAACACCCTTGTGGATGACTCGTAACTTTTTTTCCTTTTTTTTTTTTTTTCACAGATTGAGGGTTATTTGAAAGCTTTTGTCTCTTTACTGAAGTTGCTCATGTTGCTTTTCTTTATAGGTGTTTGAAGCTGTGATTTCGTGGATCAATTATGAGAAAGAAACCCGCTTAGAGCACATGGCAAAGCTGATGGAACATGTCCGACTCCCTCTCTTACCTAGGGACTACCTAGTTCAGGTGAGTACTGTATGAAGAACCAAGCACTTCTGTGTTCACCCAGGCCTCTAGGAACAACAGTGGGCAATCCTGACTGGACAGAGCAGTTGAGAGGTTTAGTGGATCTTCTGTATGTGCTGAGGGAACCAACCCGCTGGGTTAAGTGTTAGGGGTTGTAAAGTTTAAGAGCATAGGCTTGAAAATAGGACACTTAAGTTTCAGTCTCTGCTCTATTGCTTATTAGTTTTAGATTTTTATTTAACCTCTTTAAGCCTCAGTTTTTCTTCCATAGAACAGATTTTATAGTAGAGCCCTGCAGGGTTGCTGTGGGCACTAAAGGAGTGGAGTACGCAAGTCAGATGTTTAGCGTGGAGCCCAGCATAACACGTTCCATGGAAGTTAGCTGCCTTTGTTGTAGAGGGCCGAAGCAAGAAGGGTCATGTCCGCAATGTTTCTGTATTCCCTTTTTGTCTTAGTTTTAGGAAATTTGAAGCCAAATTCAAGACTGTAAAAACCAGGTGCCTACAATATACGTAGTGATTCTACTTAGTCTGGAAAGGAAAAAAAAATTAAGAATTGTGGGGTTCTTTTATGGTACCCTATGTTTTCTCACTTAATCCTTATAACAACCCTGAGAAGCAAAGACTGTAACTCCTTTTTTACTCATATAGGCCTTGAGACTTATGGAGGTTGGAATTTATCGGGGGTTACCAGCCTTAGGGAGGCTCAGGGTTCAAATCCATGTTAGTCTGGCTCTGAAGTACATAGTTCTTCACCAAGCTAGCTGCCACCATTGATAGGCTCTTTTCTGCTTACCCATTACATGACTTATTTTATATAGTAAATGGCATTAGACACAATAGAAGCAGAGAATAAACCTGAAAATATATAAACAAAACAAAACATCAAGACAGCAGGTTAGCCCTCTGCTGTCTCCAAGGAGCCTCTAGAAGGAAGGGAAGGTGTAATGCAAGGATAAGAGGCAGTTTAGCAGCCCAGCAGCCCAGCTCTTGTTACTCCCCAGCCATATAATACTGGGCACATCCTTAAGTGTTTTAAACCTCAGTTTTCTCATCTGGTAAAAATGGTGCTTGCCTTTATAGGATTGCTTGGGGATAAAATGAGATAACCCACTTAAGGTCTGTAACACAGTGTTCAGTGAATGTTACTGATCTTACTTTGTAGTCTTCATGACCACTGCTGCGATTCTTAGTAGCAGGTGACACAGTATCCTCATGAGCACTTGTAAACTCCTCTGCTGGTGACACTTGTTGATGGCAGATGTGAGGGGTCAGTGAAATGGTCCCTGAAACGCTGTACGTCAGCCTTCTCAGCTGCTGAGGGATAGGCTTGCAAGCTCTTAAATGGAGTATCCATGCTGCGTTGGGTGGTACCACTGCCACCTGGTGGCAGCATATTCTTCCTGTAGAAAAGGTCCGCTAAGCAGAGGAAGTGAACTGGCCTGAGCATCCAGTGTCTGTCAAACCTCCCACTGTCCTGTGGGAAGCTGGCCAGAGGTGGAGAAGGCATCTGGATTCCAGCATAGTCTCGCTTCTACAGGGAGGGTGGGCGGCCTGGGGACCTGGGTTCCAGAGGAAGCTAAAGGGGCCTTAGAGGCCCTTGGTCACAAACTCCACCAGCCATCCACAACTGAAATTTAACAAACATCACCATTAGGAAATGTTCTTGGATTACTATGCCAAAGTAGAGTTTAGATCTGGAAAAGAAGGGGGTCAGAGGCAATGGCATGAGAAATATTGTGTGGGACTCCCTTGCCCTCTGCCCTTTTTTCAGAAAGGCCTTTTATCAGGCCTCCCAGAGTGAACACCTGTGGAAGAGGATGTTTCATTAACATTCATTTGACTTGGAAACTTCAAATGAGTATAATTGCTGGGATGGCTGATGGTGATGAAGGAGGAGGAAGAAGCGAAAGCCCTGGGCAGACCTGCACCAACACTGTCTGACTTCTGGGGGAGGTTTTTTTTTCTTTCACAAAAGCTAGCATTTATTAGGCTTTTACTCAGTATTTAAAAATGTAGTATTAAATGTATAATATATTGTGATAAAATATATATAACATAAACTCTGTTATTTAAACCATTTTTAAGTGTACAATTTAGAGGCATTAATTACATTCACAATGCAGTACAACCGTGACTATATAGATTTTGAAAACTTTTTCATCACCCTCAAGTTGAAACTCTGCACCTGTGAAGCACTAACTTTACAGGAGAACTTTTAATTCAAGCTGAGTAAGTTCTTTCAGAGAAATAGCTGCTCATGCGTTTCTCTTCCTTCCAACCTTGTTTAGATAGATATCCTCTCACACCCTTTTTTTTCGTAACTGACCCTAGAAGTTTATGATTCATCTCAAGCTGGCTCAGTTCCTTACTGGGAGGGCAAAAAAAAAAACCTTCCAAGGAAACAGTTCCTGGGGACTGTCTCTGGGGAGGGAGGTGCTCAGAGGTACATAGAGGGCTTCCCTCACCAATCCTTTTTTTCCCTTCCAGCTCCAATGCTGCCCAGCAGGTGATGGCCCTGGCTGTGCTTTCATTCCTAGTGACAGACGGGGACCCAGGAGAGGCTCAGTCAGGCCTTGTGCATCACTGACTTGAGGGCTGAGATAATTGAGGTGGGAGGCCCTTCTCATTCTCTGACTGGGCTTGAATTCTGCAGGGTCAGAAATCTCTGGGTCAGAAATTTTGTTTTGTTCATCATTTTCTTTCTGGGGACGAGCACAGGGCTGCCCAACAAGGAGACATTCAATCACTGTTAGCTGTTGAATGGAATTGATCTTTCCCAACACAAAGCAGCCTCAGAAGACCACACTACCCATTCCAGATATGCCACACAGTGATCTGACCTGGGCCAGAAGGTAGAGCGTTGAGAGTTAGAGCACCAGAATGGCTTCATGCTTGGTCTTGCTGGTGAAACCTTTAGGCTTACATTTGCTGAGTACCTGCTTAGGTCCTGAGCTATGGAATAAGAGGCGAAGAAGCCCCAGCTCCAGCTTAGATGGAGTCCTAGGTGAGGTCAATAGGTGGAACTTTGTGCAGGATAATTTTTCTGCTCTGATGTTGTTACTCTGTTAGAAAGAGCCTCACCGGTGGATTTTCCGTCCTGAGACCTTCACTATAAGACAATAGATATGAATCTTTCTCCTTGGCAAGCTTAATTTGCTTAATGCCTCCAAAGGTTGGCTGATAGCTCCCACACCCTTTCCTCTTTCACCTCACTCCTCCTCTCAGATGTCTGCTTGCCCTCAACATTACAATGTATTCAAATCAGGAGAAATGTGTTTAGAGGCTTTCAGGGTGGCTATTTGTCTTTTGTTTTGCATAAACTCATTTAAGCCTCAAAACAAACAAAACTGGTGAGGTTGTAGATACCTTTAATATGCCCATTTTACAGATGAGGAAACTGAGGATCAGAGACGTTAAGTAGTGGATCTGGTCTAATGTGAGAGCTTGATCCCTTATCCCACTGTGCTCTTAAGATGCAGGAGTTGAGCAGTAAGTTGTAAGTCTTTGGGTCTGAGATGATGTGGTGAAGAAATGAATGAGTGTGGGAGTACAGGAATGACTGAGCCCAGGGAGAAAGCTTGGGAAATGTGGCTGAGCTCTGCTCTAGGATCACCTGTGGATTGTTACCTCTAGACAGTTGAAGAAGAAGCTTTGATAAAGAATAACAACACCTGTAAAGACTTCCTCATTGAGGCCATGAAATACCACCTTCTTCCTCTGGATCAGAGGCTGTTGATTAAGAACCCAAGGACCAAGCCCAGGACTCCGGTCAGCCTTCCCAAGGTAAGCCCCAGCCCAGTTATCGCCAAGAGTCAGGACTGTGCCCTGGGAAAGTGCCCTTCCACTCCTGCCTCCAAGTCTTTCCTCACCCATTGCTGCCCTGCATCTTGGTTGCGTTTACAACCTAGGAGATGGAGTCTGCTGGTTCCTCTTGAATCTGCTGGTACCTCTCTCTTCTGGGGTCTTCCTTTCCTAAGAGTTTCAAGGTAACCTCCAGTGTCATCAGGAAGGTTTGAGAATAACTCAGAGCTCCCCTTCACTCCCACCCTGCCTTCTCATTTCACACCATGGCTTGTGTTCTATTTCTGTTGGAAGCAAAGGGATGGCTATGTTGGTTTCACTTAGTGATGGCCATACTGGTCCTCTTTCTAAGCCAGGCTTTGAGTCAGAACAGTCCCAGTCTGTTTCTTTCCCCCACTTCAGGGAAGGACATAAAGGACAATTAGGGCTGCCAGAGAAGAGAAAAGGGGTCCCGAGAAAAGAGACCCTGTCAAATTGAGGAGTTTGACAGGTCACGAAGCAGGGGAAGGAAATGGGGGAAATGAGCATAGGAGGGGACCCCAAGATCTAGAGATCTAGAGTTTATGGTGTGTGCTGGCTGCTTTGGTTCCCTGGGAGTCTCTTTCCTCTCGGACCCTCAGGCTCCTTATCTACAGAATGAAGGATGCTCCACCCAATTCCTGAAGTTTTATCTGACTTGGTGCCAAAGTAGTCATTCTAGGAGTCTAACATGCTGATGTCTGGGGGAAGGAATCAGTCAGCCCAGGAGGAAAGGTGGGTGGAGAGGAGTGGGTGATGTTGTCTCATGGACGACACAGTAGGCGGCACCAGGAAATTATTTAGGCCCTTGCTTCGTCCTCCTCCTCCTCTTTCCAGCTGGCTGCCCTCCTCCCTGCCTGCTTCTTCCAGGAAGGTTTCATAGTGGCTAGAGAAGCATGTTGTTTTCCAAGACCAGGTGTTGGAATTCTCTGAGGTTTGCAGGACCTTCTTTCCCCTCTGCTCTATGACCTTGGATCATGGTGAATATATTGGTTGCAATGTGAACAAATGTCTCAGTGTTCCAGATAATAATATAAGCAGCTAACCTTTATTGAATGCTGAGGGTATCGCTTGCGTATCTTATTTAATCTTTTCAACAACCCTATAAGGTAGAGACAGTTATTATGCTACTTTTATAGAGGAGGAAACTGAGGTTCAGAGAAGTTAATTGACTTGCTCAAGGTCAACACAGCTAATGTGGTAGAACGAGCATTTGAACTGAGTCTTTATCACTCTCCAATCCTGTTCTCTGAATCCATACCATCCTGCACCTGGCTTCACCTTTGTAAACCTGAGAGTGCATACTTGCCTGTCGGTCTCATGCTGCCTAGTGCAGGTTAGAAGAAGGCACAGCTGCAAGGCAAGGCCTTTTTCTGGCTGGACATTGGTCTTACTGCAGATTAATTACTTTTGTTTCATTTGGTTGAAATATTGCACTGAAACTCTTCATATTCTTCATATTTTTCAAAATGAAAATAACAGCCTTCTTTAATTATAGACATATGTGCTTACTGTAGATTATTAAAAAGATAGTACAATTTTGAAATAAAGTAAAAGTCACTTGAAATGTCTCCTAGGGTAAAAAAAAAACCCTGCTATTATTTGGTAAATTTTCTTTCAGACATGTCTCTATGCACTTTTTCACAAATAGATGCAGTGTATTGTTATACAGATTGAAATGTTTTTCCCCACATGCAGCCATGTGGTACAGACTGCTTTTAATATTATCAGTATAGGTGAAATCAGCATTTAAATTGTAATGGTACATGGTGTTTAATTGTACTTATGCACTATTATGTACATATTATGGACAGTCCTCTACTGATGGGCTTTACAGTAATTCCTTTTTTTGATATTATAAACATTTCTGTGTCAAGTATCCTTTAAAAGGTGGTATCTTGTTTTAGTTTGTATTTCTTTCATTGGGAGTGAGATTATTCATATGATTATTGGCATTTGTATTTCTAGTTTGGAGAATTCTCTGTTCATGGTCTTGCTCATTTTTCCTATTAGAATGTATGTTTTTTATTAATAGTTTTTATTTTTTATTTTTATTTTTTTGAGGCAGAATCTTGCTCTTGTACCCAGGCTGGAGTGCAGTGGAGCGATTCCAGCTCACTACAGCTTCCACCTCCCAAGCTCAAGTGATCCTCCCGCCTCAGCCTCCTGAGTAGCCAGGACTGCAGCTGTGTGTCACCACACCCAGCGAATTTTTTTTCTTTTAGTTTTTTTGTAGAGACAAGTTTTCACCATGTTGCCTAGGCTGGTCTTGAACTCCTGAACTCCAGCAATCCACCCACCTTGGCCTCCTAAAATTCTGGGATTATAGGTGTGAGCCACTGTGCCTGGCCTTATTTTTAGTTTTTAAAGACTCTTTGTACATTAAAGAGGTTAGGCCTTTTTATGTATGTATTTCAAATATTTTTTTTCTTAGTTTGCAGTTTGCCTCTTGTTTATAGTAATTGCTTAGTCCAAAAAAACACAATTTTCAAGTAGTCAAACTGATCTGTCTTTTGCTTTATAGCTTGGGCTTTGTGTCATGTTTAGAAATGTTTTCTTTACTCTGAAATTATTTAAAGAATGTCTCCATGTTTTCTTCAAGTGCTTTTATAATTTTTGTTTTACATTTGAATCTTTAATGCACTTAGAATTTTTTTGTGTGTGTAAGGAGTGAGGGCAGGGATTCAGTTTTATTTGCATTGCAAATGAGGAGCCAGTTGTCTCAAAGTTATTTTGGTCATTAATTTCCCTTTTCCCCCATTGGTTTGAACACTATCTTTATCATGATCTAAATTTCCAAAGTTTCATGTCTTGAGAATGTTGATTCTAAATGCACTGTTTTTATTTAGCCTGTTTACTTCCCTGGATTTTCAGCTGGTCTTCTGTCTGTGACGTTTCCCTTTGGAAATGGTGGTTCTCAACCTCTGTGATATCAGATGAATAACATGTTTGCCTGAGGAGTGTAGGCTGGAGCTAAGGGAATGGTTCAACGCTGGCCCAGCTTTTTTGTGTAGATACCATACCCAGTGACCTCTCCTTTTCTGGACTCTATGTCTAGCTCTTACCCCATATACCCATAAAAAGATAATTTTAAAATTAAAGCCCAGTTTGTGCCTGAGCCTGGACTAAGCATGCCGAGAGCTGCTCCACCATCACCCCTGTTCCATCCCAGGGATGGAATCTATAGTTGAGAAAGAGTCTACTCCTTGTTTCAGGAGGTCAAAACCATCCTCCTGTCATCCCTACTCCTTAGGAACCATTTATTTTCTGAATGAAAACATTTAGATTCCTGGGCATCTAGCCTTCTGCAGGCAACTGGAACCATGGCTTCCTTAGAATCTGTTAAATAAAGTAGACATTATTGCTCTTTGTCTCATTGTTCTCCTGTCTTTAATCCTTGAATGATTTAAGATTATATTGTTCAACCTGCTTCTTAAACTATACTCTTATTACCATTATTTGAGCACTTAAATTAGTAAGGAGATCCCCACTGAGGGCTTGAGGAATGAATGGGATGTGCTGAGGGAAACGATCACTTAGGTATTATCAGGTCGTGTACTGTCTAATTAAATTATCACAGTAATAGATCTGTACTCTTCATATCCCCACTTTACTGAGATTACTCAGAAAGGTTAAGAAACTTGCCCAGTTAAATACTGGCTAAGTGCAGAGCTGGGGTTTGGTCTGTCCCACTCCAAAGTCCATGCTTTTCCTTTTACACCAAACAGCTTCCTGAGAAAAAGCTTTGAGGTTTTGGTAATGGTTTAAAGAGATTATTTTCTTTTAGATTAATCAAGGTATAATAATTTATAGGCAGTAAAATTCACACATTTTAGAGATACAATGTGACGAGTTTTTACAAATGTACAGTCATATAACCATCATCCTAGTCAAAAGACAGAATATTTTAATCACTGCAGAAAGTTTCCATGTACTGCTTTGCAGTCAGTCCTCTTCTTCTAGCCCCAGCCTCTGACAACTACTGATCTGATTTCTGTACCTCTGGTTTTGCCTTTTCTAGAGCATCATACAAATGGAATCATGCTGTATGTAGTCCTTTGTGCTTGGCTTCTTTTTCTTACCATAATGCATTTGAGATTCATCCATGTTGTTGCACGTATCAGGAGTTCATTCCTTTTTATCACTAAGTAACATTCCATTGTATGGATGAACCATAACTTACCTATTCACCAGTTGGTGGACATTTGGGCGTCCATTTTTGGCTGTTACAAATAAAGCTGCTGTGATTTCACTTACAGATCTTTGTGTGGACATATGTTTTAATTTCTCTTGGGTAAATACCTAGGAGTAGGATTGCTGGGTTTTATGGTAAGTATATGTTTAACTTTGTAAGAAATTGCTAAACTGTTTTTTTAAATGGCTGTACTATTATGCATTTCCACCAGCAATATATGAGTTTCAGTTATTCTGCAGTCCTGTTACTACTTGGCATTATCTATTTTAAAAAATTTTAGCCATCCTAGTAGGTATATGGTCGTATCTCACTGTGGTTTTAATATGCATTTCTGTAATCATTAATGATGCTGAGATTTTCTATGTGCTTATTTGCCACCCATATTTCTTCTTTGGTGAAGTGTCTGTTAAAATCTTCTGTCCATTTGAAAAATTGTGTTATTGTTTTCTTACTGAGTTGTAAATGTTCTTTATGTATTCTGGATACAAGTCTTTAATAAGATATATATTGTGCAAATATTTTCTCCCAACCTGTGCCTTATATTTTCATTTTCTTGGCAGGATCTTTGGAAGATAATTTTTTTAACTAATTATTTTTTTAATTGACAAAAATTATATGCATTTATCATGTACAACATAAGGCTTTGAAATATAGATACATTGGGGAATGGCTAAATTTAGCTAATTAACATATGTATTACCTGATATACTTGTTTTTTTGTGGTGAGAACACTTAAAATCTATTCTCTTAACTATTTTCAAGAATATAA